AACGGTTGGTCTCCTGGTTGTTTGCTGCAAAGTGCTTTATCGCCGTTCCCACACCCCCGCTCTGAACACCCTCGATGAGAGCTGCTGCAATGCGAGAACTGAGGAATGGATCCTCCGAGTAATACTCGAAGTTTCGACCACACAATGGAGATCGCTTTATATTCGTACCAGGTCCAAGCAGAACGGCCACATCATGTGCCTGACACTCCTCTGCCAGAGCAGAACCCACATTATGTATTAGTTCACGGTTCCATGTGGACGCCATACAAACAGCGGTCGGGAAGCATGTTGTCGATAGAGACGCAGTATCCACAGTGTCCTTCTCTACCGCCCAAAACAATCGCAGTCCGTTCGGACCATCTGTTAAATAAAGCTGTGGCACACCGAGACGGTTCACTGCATGAGTATGCCACATATCAGCACCACCGCAGAGGTCGGCCTTCTCCTCCACAGTTAGCTTCGAGAGCAGAGTGACAGGGTCTTCCATTGTATTTGGCGTAAAAAAATTGCTTGTACAAAAAATGGGGATTTAGTATTTTGCTTTTCTAAAACAAAAATAAAATAATTCAAGAAAAAAGAAAGAGAACAAAAAACCAAATAGGCACCTAACTGTGAGTATTAGTAAAGTTTGTAAGAATAATGGTAATGCACATTACCACCAAGGTGGACCTGCAGAGAAAATAAATAAGAGGTGTACCTGCTAATTGATGTAGGGGTTGAGATAATTTAATGGATTGGCAGTTTCTTTTTATCTCATCAACTTACTCATTCTGGTTATTTCTATCAATCTCTTTACTCCCATTGTTTTTTGAGAAAAATGATTATGAGAACCATAATGGGCTACAGTTTAAGAGAAACCTCAACCTGAATTTTCCTATCATGTATTGATAACAGTGTCATTGTATATTTTGTTTCAATTTCCTGTACAACTCCCATTATAATTTTACCTTCTGGCCATTTGGCAGTGCCACACTTTTACCGTCGATTCCAACAGTTGTGCCAAGGGATATTGCAAAAAAATAAAATAAAAAAAGGTGAAAACGAGAATACACTGAAGACACTCACATTGCTAATACATGAGAAATTCAATATCCAATAATGTTTAAAGAAAAATGAATGCGTGCTACGAATAGAGAGAGAGAGAAAGAGTCGAAGTTACATAGTCACACCAAACAACGCCTCCTATCCCATTATTCCCCAAGTAGCTTACAAAACTAATATCACACAGAAAACGAGACGTTCATAGGGTTCATGGTTATTCCTGTCGTTCTTTTTAAAGGATCGTTTTTTTTTTTTCTTTTTTTTTTACAGTTCCAACAATATATATATATATATATATATATATAGGGAGAGGGAGGGAGAGAGAGAGAGATGTAGGGGTCATCTCCCAAGAACGACAACTGCTTTACAAATAAGCAGCTTTGAATTTTAAAATAATTATTATTTTTTTTTTTCCTTTTGCTGATCCCGTTCCTTCTCTATACGATTACATATGAGAGACAGCCGGTCTTAAGAGACGGTACTCACCATGGGAAGTCCATTTCCCATAAATCATACGTTTTTTAATAGTGTCCAAGTCTGAGTTAAGTAGTAAAAGGTTTGCTTGCTTACCTTTTTCAATCGAACCGACCCCGTTTAGTCGTGCAATTTTGGCGGGAGTTGTGGCGACCATTTTACATGCTGAAACCAAATTAACACGAAATAGCGAGACCAAATTCATAAACAGATCTGATAAACAACTAGTACTCCCAGCCAGAGTTTTTGACGGCCTTCCCAAAGCATCACAGAGGTAGCAACCACCTTCTGCGCGAACAACACTTAAACGTCCATTGTATTTAAGGCGTTTTCCGGGACGATGTTCTGATATGCAGTCTGTTATAGCGGCAATATCATCACAACCACGAGCCGATATAGTCGCCTGTACAGGGATAGCATCCACATGAACGAGATCAGCAATAATTTCAACAGTTGGAGGGAGAGCACCCTTGTAAATATCTGCATCGGGAAATGTAGAGCAGAGTGAGACATTTATGAGTGATGCATTTCGATGGTGAAACGACATGACGTTGTGCATGTGTGTGACGTGAAATCTTTCTTCTTCTGTTGTAGCAAGTTTTAACGCACCCAGGATATCTTTCTTTGTGGCCACTCGGTCATGACCAAGAGAAGGTCGCACACCAATGTGAAGTAAGTGCTTGATAAGTTCGTAGTTGCTGGAGGCGTCAATGTGTGGTGAAATGGTCATTACACGCATAGATGGCATCGTGGTACAAAGTTTTTTAAACTGCTCAAGCGTCCATCGGCTATTACAAGATGGAAGTCCCCCGCGATCATGGATCACTGGACCCTCCGCATGAATTCCACCAAGAGTGGCGCAGTCTGGGATATAACGATTTACACGACTTTCCACCTCCTTAATGCATTTAGCAACAAGATCCTTGTGATCTTCAGAAAAAATGATAGATGCCAATGTGCAGAGTGTTCCGCAGCGTGCAAGTTCTTTGAGTGAGAATTCAGGATTTGACCAGTGACCAATAACATCATCAGCACCACCGAGGCCATGATTGTGAATATCCACAAATCCAGGAAGAATGAAATCCTCCTCAGTCACCTCGAGGTTTATCTCGCCATATTTTTGCTGGAGGTCCTCTTTTGATGGTAAATAAGCACGGCCCCCAACTCCTTCAATGATTCCATCCACAACGAGCACGAAGCCACCGTATATAACCTTCTTGGGGGTTACAACGTTTCCTCTGATAAGTGAAATAGTTTTTGCCATTGCGGCTCCCACACACTGCAGAAGTATCTAGTGAAAGGCAAAAAATGGATGAGAAAAAAAATTTATTTATATATATATAGAAAATTCTATCAAGGAAAAAAAGAAAGAAAAAAAACAAAGAACACAAACACATATGCATAGTGAAAACCCTTTTCCTTTCTAGTCAACAAGTGACCGGCAATAAATTAGTGCAAGAAAAGAAGAGTATGCCTTCTGGTTCAGAGTAAATTGAATAGCGAAACCAGAAAGAGATACTAGAAAGAGATGACTCATGGGCTGTACATACAAACATTGTCACGCAATCAACAACCCTGACAAAGGAAAAAATCAATAGCTTTTTTTCTTTTTTATACAGGCTACAGAAAAAAAAAACACGACAAAACACACGAGGTAGCAGATTCCGTGGTGCTCCCATTATCGTATCCCCGCCTGTGTAGGGAAACCAAGAGGTATAGTGGGATGGAATTAAATAATAATAATAATAATAATAATAATAATAATAATAATAATAATCCTCATCATCATCAAATCCTTTCCGAACGTTACTTCGACAAATGATTACCTCATAAACACAAAAATGACAAACAGAAAAGAAAGCCTTGCACACCCAAAGAGTCATCATATTATAGAGGCACACTTCATGGGAACATATTCTTTTCAGAGGCCTTTAGAAACGAGTTCGACCAATGTAGCTTCTACGAAAAGAGGAAAGTTAAAAAGAAGGAAATACCTCGATACGTTTTTTTTTTTTTTTCTTTCTCTCCCTGTGATTTCCCTCCTTTTCCTTTCTTTTCTTTTGTGGGTGTGTCTGCCGTGTTACTCACTCAATCTCATCCAGAGGTTCAGATGAACCAACAGAGTAGGCACCTGAAAACCCTCATTGATTTCTCATTCAATGGGTTGGTAACCGCACCCAGGAGGGTGAAACTAATAGGAATGACTCTTATTGATGGTAATGTGACGCCTTATCTGAGATGCTGCTGAACCAATAGCCATTCTGCCTAACCGGTAGAAAAGTGAAGTCTCAACAGGTTGTAACCAATCGTCAGCTCCGTTGGCTGGAAGAAAACGTCTGATGAAGTCCCCTCTTTGGAGCCCTGATTCTATCGTAGTTATTTTCATCATGTAAGAAGACTGACGTATATTAATTACCACGACAGTAATACACTCCCTCAAGAAACCAATAATAATAGTAATAATAACCGAATAGTATACAGAGAGTGTAATTAATACGGGAAAAATAAAAGAAACTTGCATTTCGAGCGTACTTCAAGCTCCAATTTCGAACTACATCACACTCACCTTTACTCCCACTTGTCCCGTTGCTGCCCAATAGGACTCATGGCGATTTGTTGTATCCTGCAGATACCTTTTCCATCTCGGAGTTACATTAACCACCGTGTTATTCTTTCGCACTCCATCAGGATGGAATGATGAATTTCTCCCACAACAGTCTGCACGACGGTGCACCATTAAGAATGGTCCATGAGCCAAACCTCTTTTTTTTTTCTCTCTCTCTCTCTCTCTCTCTCTCTCTCTCTCTCTCTCTCTCCAGGTGTGAAAGAGAAATATATATATATATATATCATGCCGAGTAAAGAGCAACAGATAGTCGTGCACCCTCCTCACCTCCTATCCCAAAACTGAACTTATAAATTCCTCCTTTCTTAAAAAGGAGACCACGTAGAAGGAAAAAAAAAAGTACAAAATACGTCATATATACACATCCTTATATAACCAACCAACTACATTCCTGACTGTACATGTGCTGCTTCTTGAAGAAAAAGAAGTGGAGGAGCCGTAGGACACACACAGCTAAAAAGTTTATTTATGCGTTTCACTACATAATCTTGAATAGCCTTTCGGTCCTCTGGATCTGTTACGGCAAGCAGAGGTTCAAGGTTAACACCACGCCCCTCTGTGTTGCCTGATGTACTTAAACACTGACTCACTTCTACTAATGACTCTAGAATAACAGAACGAACTGCAGCGCTTGTTTCTGCATCTAGAAAAAAATCTTGCGTTGTTCGTATAGGGGGATTGTCTAGATTTACATTTTGGTACTGCCCACTAAGCTGTACAAGATGATGTCGCCGTAGTGCCCACAATTCATTCTTACATGCAGCAAGCTCTATATTGGCCAGTTCAACCTCCCGTCGAGCTTCTAGTGTACGAATCGCAAGACCTGTTTCCCCTTCTGAAGGGGGGGAATTTGTTGTTGTGTTTGGAGACGTTGAAACCGTTGGTAGTACCCCACTCTGTGCACCACCTGAAGTGTTATTACTAGCCATTTCAAGTAAACGAAGATTATTTACTTTCACCTCCTCTGACAAGGATTTTAATTCATTTCTAAGATTATTCTGTCGTTCAATACATAATTTATGTCTTTGCTCTTCCAGGGCGATCATTCGCTGAAGTCCAGTCCGTACATCAACTATAGCAGTTGTCTTTTTCTCAAGAACGACAGACTGTCCTTGAAGTTTTAAAAGCTCTAAAATGAGGTGTGATGTTTCCTCTTGTTGTGCCGCCTTATCTTCTAGTTCCTCCACAGACAATTTTGCCATTTCGTCTACACCTGTTTCCAGGCGCCGGATCATAGACTGAAGCATATCGTTCTGTTGTCGCTTCGTCTCTTCCCGCATTTTCGCCATGAGCAGAACATGTTCACCATGTTCGCGAAAATAACTCTCCTCAGCGTTGCGGCATTCTTCACGCATTTTAAGTTGCTCCGTGAACGCCGCTTCAACTTCCATTCCTCTAGCAGCAAGTGCACACACTCTCTCTAGTATCTCGTCCTGTTCCCTAAAAAAACTCTCAGCCATATCCTCCATATCCTCCAAGACTGTGAGACGGGAATCTGACAACTCAGTCATAAGTTCCAGCGCTGTCGCAGTAACATGAGCTTTCTCCCGCTGAAATGCCGCATCCTCGCTAAGCTTGAGTGATTCAAAGTTCTTAGCATCATCTTGCAGAACTCTAGAAGTCTCGAGCTTATCTTTCAACTCATGTTCACTCTTTATAAACATGTCACTTGCACGTATTGTATTTAAGTGTCTAGTTTTACCACGAAAGGCGTTTCGTGCGGTTTCAGCAGTACCATCCTGACCTTTTGGTCGTTCAAACGCGGCACGTGTGGCATCAACCAATGTGCCATCCATAAACTGTGGTTTGTCATTCACCTCCTTCACTTTATCCCATAACATGTCAGCCTCCAGTTCATCACCCTGTGGCTCTGGCGCCACTAGCAATGGAGCTGCATTCTTCCGTTTCCTCCCTTTGGGCGGCATCTATTTTTTCTTTTTTTCTTTTTCCCTCTTCAATAAAAATATGTCTATGAGGAACGGAGAGAGAATAGAGACTTCAAAGAAAAAATCAAGGGGAAAAAAAAAAGGATGGAGGTGTTTACAAGTATTTAATTCCAGCTCCACATCATTACGTTTGTTTTTTCTACTTTCGTTGAAAGTATTTTCTCTTCTTTTCTTTTTCCTTTTTTTTTCCGCTTCTTCCCAACTGCGATATTATAAAACGATAAATCATCTCGTGATGAGAGGAAATACAAAACAAAAGAAAAGCAATGAAATTGTCAAAAAAACACCTTGTAGGACATATTTTATTTCCTCATTTTTAAGATACCCCATCCATCATTATGTATTGAGACACACGCTCAGCATTCTCCAACGCCTGTAACGCCTTGAAAATAGTGTCTTGATGTTCACCCAACTGCGTAGAGTTTGACAAAGACGTCATGTTGGGTCGGGTCTTGCTCTCAATGAGAAAAGAGTTCGAATGATCATATCCACTCATTGCTCTACGTGTGGGTGTGGCCGTAAGAGAAGCAGAATTAAAGAGAGCAGAGGACTTCTCATTTATAGAAGGAACTGTGCGTCGCGTAGTAGTTGTAGTAGTAGATACCCCAATTCTCCCACTCTCATTCTCTTCTTCCTCTTCCTCCTTTTCCTTCCTTGCCGTCCTTAAACGTTGATCGCGCCGTTCCTGCCACAAACGCATGCGTACATCCAGCGGAAGTGTCACCGCGCTGTTACTGCGCACACGACTCCGATTTATTTTTGGTGCAAAAGTGCACTCGGAGTGTAATTCAGACTCCTGCTGTTGCTGCTGTTGCAATAAAAGATTACGCTGTCGTGCACTTCTTGCAATACCATCCAGATACAAGTGTCCAAAACGTCGGTTAAGATCTTCACTACGCATATGTACTTGTGGTGATGGTGTTGCAGCTCGTTTCACCTGTCGTGGCTTCAAAAGACGCTCTGTCGTTGACTCATTCATCTGTGTTGCAATCATTTCACTTACTCTATTAATACTTGGTTTAAAACAAACCTTGTCTTTTTCATTACTGATAAGAGATTTCTGTCGCTGCTGTTGAACACCATGATCATATAGATCATTGTATGCTCGTCTTCCCGGTTTTCTTTGCAATTTCTCTGCTTTTTCTGATATTAAAGGATGAAACGTCATTTCTAGATTTTCTTCAACAATATCGTGTAATTTCCCCTCCATAGCCTTTTCCTCAATTTGTCTTTCTTTCGCGTGCAAATATAGTCGTTCCGCCGCTGTATACGGGAGTTTCATTTCCTTTGCCTTCCTCGTAATCATTGGGGATGCACGTATGGTGTTAGATTCACTTCTTTTCTTTTCTAAACGCTCATCCGCAGAAGCCTTGCGGTAGAGAAGAGTCTCTGCAATAGGCATTGCTTCAGTATTTTCTCTCACTTTACGCTCGTGTGCAAGCCGTGCAGACTCAATAGATATTCTAGGATGAAAATTTAGCTCCCCCACAGATTGCTCAATGATACGCTCGTGTCTTCGAGCCCTTATGCGAGAAAGCTCCTCTGCACTGACAGAAAGAGGAACGTGTGTCCTCTTATGTAAATGTGACTCTGCAGCTTGTAGAATTTTTTGCTCCTCCAATTCCTCCTCCTCCTGGTGAGTTTGACGTGCCTTTTGCAGACGTTCTAGTCTCTGCCGCCCGTACTCCATCAGACGGTCCTCAACAGGAACACTACTTCCATGTTTGGTACCACGCACATACTGAGATGACATTTGACCCTTCTCTTGTTCCTTTGGTCTTTTTCTGTTCACATCATTATCATCACTATTGCTAACATTATTGTTATTGGGTGAAAGTGAAACGAGTTCAGAGATGAGCCAGCGACGATGGTCTTCAAACAGTTGACGTTGACGTCGTGATCGCTCGTCCTGAAGTGCGAGACGAGACGCCAGTACCTCGCCTAGATCTGTCATGTTCTACTTTCATGTGCTAAATATGGGAAAGAAAAACAATAATAAGAGAACTAAAGAAAAATTTACAGAAAAAAAAAACGCTGCAGGTAGGAAAAGAATCAAGCTGAAAATATTGTGGGAATGAAACCCTCTTATACAGTAAAGAAGTTGTAAGCATCATCTCACGCGTACATGCATGCATCCAGAAGCAAAAGGAATGTATACAAGGCACAAAGTTTTTCCTTTTGCAATAACAAGAGAAGCACCTATCCAAAGACTAAAAAAAAAAAGGAGACATTTGGGGATGAAAACTTTACATGTGTCTACTATCTTTCGTGGCGCCCGGGAGGCTAGACGGACTGAAAAAACGAAGACCAAAGGAATCAGGGTCCTTCATGATGTCTCTCTGCTGTTTTCTGCGAGCTGCCTCATCGTCACGTGGTATATGTGATGCGTATAGAGGTGGCATTGTCTTTTTCTTTCGCTGTGTCTCCATAAGGTATCTCGTGCGTGCCTCTTCAAAGCAACGGCGGAGGTTTGGTAACTGCAACTGCGAGGCGGCGGTTGGCTTCGGCTGCGGCACTTGGCGGGCGGCACCGACACTTGACGCTGATCGCTCCTGTACGATGGACGGGGGGGCGCGAATACTTCGCAGTCGCTCGTGTCGGCGGTTGTGGCGGTTGGCGAGTGCCTGCAGCTCCATGTGTAGTTTGTACGTGCGGGCCCGCAGGCGGTCGGGCGACGAGAGGCGTTGAGGAGCTGGAGCCGCCACAGGAGGACCCCGCCGCTCCACACGTGCAGGCGGATCAATAAGAGCAACAGCAACAGCAACAGCAACAGAAGAAGATGAAGAAGAACTATTTTCATTTATGTCGTCACCATTGAGTGGGACATCACATCCCGGTGAGTTAGTAAGAGGGAAATCCCTATCGGACATGCGTGGTGCACTACTAGTCACTACTTGACTATGAAGAAGATAGAACCACAAGTCTGTGTGTATGTGTATATAGACAGAGATAAAAGTGCAAGAAAAGCAGAAGAAAACCATTCTTTTTTTTTTTTTACTTTGGAAGCAGGAGGAGAAAAACATCAGAGAATAGCAAAAAAAAAAAAAAAACAGCAACGACAACAACAGAATGCGTTTGATGAATTCTATTTGTAACGTCATGAAATATCACCAAATCATTGGAAAGGAATAAAGAGTTCTATGAACGTAAAGTAGTGAACTTCAAGGAATATCCACTAGTGCCAGTAGAGAGAACACCACTGGTGCTTGATATTTCATATTGGGTCTCATCTGGGGGTTCCAGTGAGGAAGTCTCAGGGGATAGTTCAGCAGTAATAAGTGAAGATGAATCCATCACAATATGTGATTCATTATTGGGAATATTCATAACAACCTCAACGTCAGCACCAGTATTTGTTTTTAGGTTATCAGTGAGACTATTTTGGGTCTTCTTAACACTAGTATTAGTAGTGAATCCCACACTACCTAAAGTTTCTCCAAGAATTTGGTAAGCCCGATGCATGTAACTATCAAGTGCAATTGATAAGTTTGTCTCGTTGAGTGTTTTACTCTCTACAATAGTGCCACATGGTGGTTTGTACATCTTTGATATTTTTCTCACAAACGGTCGTCCTCCTACGCGTGTTGCCACTACACGCATCCCATGTGTAAGCTGTGCGACGCTTCGCAGTCGCTGACCTGTGTCAAAGCAAAATAAACCTCCAACTGGTCGTATATGAAGCATCTCCGAAATTCGTTTTTTGACCTGAGCAATATTTCGGTACTGGTGAACCATCAGAAGAGATGGCGGAATATCCGGGGAGTCGTTATCGATAATAAATATTTTTTTTGGTTGATAATCAAATGTTACGTCAGTAGTCACATTTTGAGAATAACTACAAGTGGAAGAGGGCAAAAACAGCCGCAAATCATTCACATCTTTGAGTGAGGGATGTTCCCCCAAAGACACCACGGCTCCCTCTACAATAGGCGCCACAGCACCACCTCGCACCACTGGAGGAGCCTCTAACGGTAATCCATACTGTCCGATAAACACACGTTGCGGCGCCACTTCACACCTCTCCACAGTGTCTATGATATCAGCAAAACTTGCGTGATCTCGGGATGACTTCTGTCGGCCGTCTAGAATCACCACAGGAGCCATGCGTAGAATTTCTTGATGCTTTTCCGCGCTATAGGCACAGTCACCAGTAAGTGCCAACACAGGAACACCATGATGAAGCAGAATAACTCCATTGGATGCATCAGTTGCGGGTGTATGGAATACGACAAGAGAGACTCCTGCCGTTGTATCCGGTAAATGGTACGATAGGGATTGTGTTACAGTTGCTTCTACTGCTGCATGAACAGTAAGGTCAGGCAATGCTACAAAATCACAAAAAATAGACCCCCCATCGCCGTTGATATCTATCCTTGAGTGGACCTCCGATAGGCGATGCAGTTTAATCTGCGTCATCACCTTTTCCCCGGTAATGATGCGAAGTCGTCTCGCTTTTCGACTTTCCACAGCAATAATAACCGGAAGTTCAGCAGACATATGGGAGCGGTTTGAAAAAAGAAAAATATTGGATGGAATGACGCCACAGTACCGAAGACACTGCCTTGTTACACCGTATCCGGCGCCAAAGAGAATAATTGGTCGGTCATCAGCGTAAAGCACATATCCAGGACTGCAGTTTCCATCATAGACCATTGAGGCACCTTTGCCGGTACCAAGACATAAAATGGATAGTTTAGTGTTAGAGTCCATAGCGCCAGCACCACAGGCACTGTCATGCGAAAAGCAGTAGTGAAGTACCACACCGCCTCTGCTTCTGCTGCAATTTACAAAATACAAGAAATGAAAAATATCAGAAAAACAATAACAAATAAAAGAAAAAAATAGAAATGAAGCATTCAGAAGACATGAAAAGCTGTCTCCCCCAATATCCAGGAATAAGATGGAATATCAATATTCAAGACCAACATTGCCATTGTTTCCTAACGCACCCCTAACCTGATACAGAAAATACACCCCTTTACTTTAAAGCTTTCGTAACGAGATCGCAAAATTTCATATGAAAAAAAAACCAATGAAAAAAAAACAGCATAAAAGAAAAGGATTACTAGCTACTCAAAGCCCATCATGAAGGTATCCGGGTGAGGGCCATAGCGGTGATTGGTGTTCATTTCATCGATTGTTTTCATGTCTTCCGGCTTCAGTTCAAAATCAAAGACCTTAGAATTCTCCTTGATTCGCTCTTCGTGCACGGATTTTGGGATTGTAACAACTCCATGCTGTAATTCCCATCGCAGTATTACCTGAGCGGGAGTTTTACTGTACTTTTGAGCCATGCTGTTCAGCTTAGGATCCTCAAGCAGGTGTCCTTGCCCCAAAGGTGACCACGCCGTGACGACAATATTGTTTTCCTTGCAGTATTCACGCAACTCTTTCTGGTTATTCAGTGGGTGAAGCTCAATTTGATTCACCATAGGCCGAACCTTACAGTGCTTGAGGACATCCTCAATGTGATGCTTTTGAAAGTTGGAGAGGCCAATCGCTCGTACCTTTTTTTCCTCATAAAGTTTCTCAAAGGCCCGCCACGTGTCCAAGTACTTGTTTTTCCCTGGCCAGTGGATGAGGTAGAGGTCCACGTACTTTAAACCGAGTCGCTTCAAACTCTCATCACATGCCTTCAATGTGCTCTCATAGCCCTGATCGGTATTCCACAGTTTGGTTGTGACAAAGATCTCCTCACGTGGGATGTTGCATGCGGCGATGGCTTTGCCAACACTTTCTTCGTTCTTGTAAATGGCAGCGGTGTCAATGTGGCGATAACCGGCCTTCAGTGCCCACGAGACAGCGTTCTCTGCCTCCTTGCCGTTCTGGGATTGCCACACACCCAACCCCAGCTGAGGCATTTTGACACCATTTGAAAGGGTTAGCGACTGTGTAAGAGCCATTTTTTTTTTTTTTTGGTTTTATTGTTGAGCACGAAATAAATATCTTATGTGTTCGTGAAAAGCAAATACAGAAAAACAAAAAAGGCAGAAGTAAGGATGAGGCAGAAAGGGTGTTAAATAACATAACATTGTCCTCGAGGAATGCACCAGGCAGAAAAAAAAAAGTGAACAAGACAAATGGGAGCTACACACACTCATAAAAACGAATATATATATATATATCGTAAAAGGGGAAGAAGAAATAGATAGAGGCACTTGCAATTTAAAACAAAAAAAAAACCTAAACTGTCCTCAAAGTCTAGGTGTGTGTATCTATGGTATTCGCCACTTCCACGTCGAGGCTGGGCGACGGCAATGTCAATTTCTCCCACTCCGCTGTTCTCAGCCGCTGCTGCGCCTCCACGCAAGTAAAATCGTCCTTGATAGTCTCCATGGAACTCATATCCAATCCACACTGTACCGTCACGTGCAGCGGCAGCGGCAGCTCCACCCCGGGAAATGCCTTCGCTACGTGCGTCTGCACTTCCGTCAGACGATCGCGCGTCTCCCGCACACACTCCTCAAGCACATCAACATGACAATCCAGCCACAGTGAGTCATGCACAAAGTTTATCATAAACGCCTTTTGTCCAAAAAAATCTCTTCGTACAAAATGTCTAAATACACGTCCAACCATCATCTGGGCGAGTTCAGCTCCGAATCCTTGAATAGGGTAGTTTTTAACTGGTGGTAAGTTTAGCACAACATCTCGTGTTTTAAAACTCATTCGAAGGCCAGTAGGAAGCTCCACAACAAAGTGTGTCGGAAGACCTGGATTATTTGCACGCAAGGCAAGTGTACGAACAAGATGATGAAATTTTGCGACACCTGGATACTCTTCTTCTTCCATACGAATAGAGGCTTCAAGATCCTTTACAGGAATACCAGTTGTCTTGTGAAGTAGGGGAACACCAGCTCCATACAAACGCTGAAACGAAAATGTCTTGGCGGTTTTACGTAATTTCACGTATTCTGGATTTCCTCGAGTGTAACCTTTGTAAATCTCTTCATATGATAATCCACTGAAAAATGATGCCCGTTTAATATGGAAATCCACACCTTTTTTTAAATCTGAAACTAGACGTTTGTCCTTTGAGAGAAGGGCCATGACAACAATTTCTAATTGTGAGTAGTCCAATTCTACACACCGTCCCTTATCACCAAAACGAGAAATAAAAAGACGTCGTAATGATGATTTATCATCTTTTGGTATGTTTTGACAACTGGGGTAGGAACTTGTCGTACGAGAGGTGGCGGTTGCTGTGAGATCAATAAACTGTCGCACCTTACCATCATCATGCAAAACAGATAGTCTTCCATCTGTGCCTGCATGAAGAAATCGTCCTGATCGCCGTTCTAAATTTTGCTTCTCCAAAAGGAGTCCGGCCACTTTGAGATTATGACGTTGCAGAGTTTGCAAGGTTGATTCGCTAATCATATTTTTCTGCAATAATGTCAAAAGCTGTGGGCTCTCGATCACCTCTGATGCCACACCAGGGAGTCGCACTACGGTACAGTCCCTCCGGCGCTCCATTGGGAGGAAACAACCAACACCAGGGTAAACCACTAGTGTACGTGCAGCATGACTAAATACCGCATCACGTTGTTTCTCCGCATCGCGTCCTGCTAGACCAAGTGCATTCACAAGGACAAACCACAATGTTTTTGCATCTGTTTCCGCTCTGTGCAACTCACCATCGGCCTCCACGCGTAGCCCTTCAACCAGTGAAGAAAGACGAAGTGACGTCGTGAGAGTTTCAAGCACACCGCGGTCCATCTTGGGATTCTCTTTTGAACCTTGTAATTCACGTTTAAGAGCCTTTAGTAGCACAAGCGAATCACAAAAAAGAATATTTGCTGTATCAACACTCTCACGCTCAAGTGCCCGTCGTAGGAGTGGTTCATCTAGAGCAAACACATTGTGACCAATGAGAACTACAACCTCATTTATGTCACGCTGGGCGTCATCGAGGCGTAAATACTTCGCGAAAGCACGTGTCACTTCTGGTAAATGGGGTGCCTCACGCACCATATCATCTGTAATATGATGAATGGCTGTTGTATGTCGTGGAATAGACCGCTGTGGATTCACAAGTGAAGAAAAGGAGGTTCCCTCAACTGGATCCCATGCGGCAACCTCAATTATTTCATCTGTTCCTGCATTTAGACCGGTAGATTCAATATCAAAGAGTACTAATCGAAATCTGCGTCCCTGCATACTTTCATCATTCGCTATAAGTTTTGAAATGCGCTGTCCCAGACGACCTGATGTTCGCAGTCCCTTCTCATTAGCAAAACGTTGTAAGTGTACGTCAGTAGAGAGTAGTGAAAGATTGCCGTATTTGTGGCAGAACTGAATGAGATTGGAGGTCCACATAGAGGAATCCTGTAAAACATTAGCGTATCCAAGTCTAATACTCCCTCCAAAGAAAAAGGCGTTTAAATGTTGTAATGATGTCCAATCAAAAAATTTATGTAAATCAAGTGGCAATTCATTCGGAACATATAGAGAGAGAGCCTTATCAATAGCCAATATTCGATTTTGAATAGCTTGTGCTTGGTAAGAAGCTTCATTTGCATCAACTTGAATACCAGCACGCTCAATAGCAGCCATCGAAAGTAAGGAATCCATACGATGGGCGATACATATCATTTGACTCCGTTCACATGCCTTTAAAAGCTGATCACGAAATACAGTATTCAAAGCATCCACTGATACCATTAAATATCGTCGAAGAAAGGCAAATGGTAAGTTTGAAGCAGTGATTCCCACAACTGAAGATGGTGGGGTCACCACACCATACTTTAATGCAATATCACGAAAACTGTTATTACCTGTCTGACATCGCTGGGCCTCTAATAAATATTCTGCTAACATTGTACACCATACTCTTCCTCCACGCTTAAAGAAGCGCATAAGTTCTAAATCATCCCATACTAAGAGTAAAAAATGTTTGGCATCATGACAAACAATAACATCAAATTCATCTAGTGAAGGTAACTTAAAATCTCCTCGTGCATTGTACTTTGTCCATGGTTCTACCACACGTTTTTTTGCATCCATCATACATACTGCAAGAATATAGTTTTTCGATGAATGAGGATTCGCAGGTCGTGTATATGCAACCGATTCTGTTGCCATATATGAAATAAGGAGATATCTTTTGTACTTTCGAATTTCTGCTTTTTCTTTCGACACACGTTGTGGGAGAGAAAAAATATTTAGCCACTTATCAACTAAAGAACTAGAAACATTTGTCGTAGTATTATCAGTATTTGACCGTAATAAAGTTTTATACTCTCCCTCCTTTAATCGTTTTCTATGGAAATTGCGTATATTATTTCCTGCTGCGGCATAAACCTCAAAAAGAAAATCTGCGTCCAGACCACCAGAGACATCGCGTAGAGCGGACCAGTATCGTGCAGGTTCCGATTGATACACACCGCGGTACTTATCACCCAACTCTGAGGCAAACACTAACTGACATTCACGTCCAGACTTTGCTAGGGCAGTACGGCATCGCATTAATGTTGGGCGATCTGTTCTATTTGTGGGAAGAAATATTACATGCTTTGAGTGTCGCTCCAGCAGACATGCGAGGATGTCTGACAACATTCCTTTCGCCCCATACCGTCGCTTGCGGACGGGATCCCACAGGAGAACATTAAGACCACGTGAACCGGAACGCACCAGGTGAATAATGAAAACATCAAACCGAGGCACAATAAAGCGGTTAATGGTGTGAATAGGATCTTCCTCGTTCATTCTACATGCTAGTGTACGCAAGTAAATCCAGTGTGCACGAAACCAGGCTTCACTTAGTGGCTTTGGTGTAACTACGGCGTAGTTCCCCACAACCTCACGCAATGGTGGGGGATTAGGATCTAATGTTTCTGCCATCTCGAGACTATCTACGTGTGTTAATGGAATAATGCCACAGCGCCGCAGTTCATCCGCAAGTCGACGGAACTGCGGTGCGAGTACATTGCGTTCCTTCTCGTGTGCGACGAGTGGAATCAACACAACTTGTGTGACTCCGCGTGTGTGTTGCATGAGTTCATCCGCCACTGTTGGTGCATCTGCGTGCGCCTCCACGGCGGCACTCACCACAACCCGATCGCGATCTACAGAGAAGAAATGAAAATATTTTGACTGGAGATCATACGAGTACAAAAACACAGGCAAATCCACACAGCGGCGCTCCTCCTCTCCCTGTAAGCGCACAGCGAGTGTGTCCTGCTGCTCCTCTGCCTCTTTCAATGCACGTTCGTAGTGTAATCGCACACTTCCCGTAACGCCAGTGTCTAGTGAGATGGGAACACAAAAGAACTCGGCGAAACTCGCAGCATCGCTCTCAAGCGGCGCCGAATTCCGAAGAGCCGTCTGGGCGTTCACAAGTGAAAGAAACCCCAGCGCACGCCGCAGATGCTTAGAGACACCTGCCGCAGCAATCCGCCGCATTTCACCCAGACTACCGACCCCCACCCGCCTTTTCTTTCCTGTAGATTAAAATAAGAATGAAAAGAAAAAAAAAAATAGAAGAGAAAGGGAGAAAAAGTGGTATGAGAAGAAGTAAATGTACAACTCTGGACGAGAGAGAGAAAAAAAAAGATTTCAAATGGATTACAGTTGCATCTCAATAATAATAATAGGAGAGACTGTACAAATGAAGAAAAATATCTACTCGCGAATTATTTGGTTAGTCAGAAATATGCAAAGGCAACCACAACGCCACCACCCCACTCACCCCAATAGCAAATTACATGTAGTAGATTAAAAAAAAAACTAGCATCCATTGCAAGAAAAGTTTTTATTGTTATTTCTTCTTTTCTTCCTTTTATCATGTTCTTCAATTGACAGCTTATCATTTGCACTCCTTACCAACAACGCTGTGTCACTAGATGTATCTCCCGTGTAATGTGATTGTGAAACGGCTGACCGCATTCTACCATATGTCTCAATATCTGCGGTGGACTCCTCTAGTCCAGAAGAGGATGGTAATGACATTAATAATGACGGAAACAAGACCATCGTTGATGTAGAAATAGAAAACTCCTCACCAGCAACCGCAGCAGTGGTAGTAGTAGTAGTAGTAATATCAGTAGTAGTAGTAGTAGTAGTAGTTGTTGTTGTTGTTGTTATATCATTTTCTTTCTGTTGATACTCATCTTGATCCTGTTGTTGACTCTCGCCTACTAGAGAATCGCCTATAGTTTGCAGGTATGCAACTCCGTTATCACCACTCTGAAACGACGTCTCATTCAGAATAACGTCCAGACGCCATAACATTTCATCATTCCAGCTGTATAAAGCAAGCGCAACGTTCTTCACGGCATTCTCGTAGGAAACTCTACCAAAAGAATCCGCGCTGCGGCCACGCGTAATCAGTTGTTCAATATACTGTGAACACTCCGCAAAAAACCACCGCACCGAGTGCATCAATACCGCCTCCCAACAAAGCAAAACGATCATTACATCCACCAACTTCAGTGGGACATCAGTCGCCGTCTGCTGTAGTGTAAAGAGTGCATGTAGTAAATCCCACTCTCTGCCTTTAGAGCAACAGGCTTCATACACGCGCCTCATCTCATCATCACGCAAACCTTCCTTCTTCTTGCTGATATCTTCAGCAGTGATGCACGCCAACAGTTTTGACAGGTCTGCTGGAGTATCAACACACAACCACAACGACAAGAACGTGTCGAGGGGCGCAGAGTTCATTAAACAGTCTTTACTATAGTTATATATATATATATATATATATATATTAATAAAAGATAAACAAGAAAAGAAAGAAAAGCAAACCCAAGTAAATTAAATTAACAATAAATAATAATAATAATATGAACTCTCTGTACGTGTATACTTTTTTTTTCTTTTTTTTACCGCCCGGTAGTTCACTTTCATTTACCTCTGCATCATCCACTTCAAACCAGCATGAACATCAAGTGCAAATAGTCATATTTATGTGTACCTATTTACGACTTTGTTTTTGTTTCATTGCTTTCTGATTGCTGTGTCCCTAATTGTGCAGCAGATGCTCCACCCAACTTCTTCAGTCGCTCCACATCTTCCATGGCCTTCAAGTACGCCTGTGCTTCTTCCTGACGTTTCCGCTCCAGCATCGTTGTCCGTGCGGTCATTTGTTTTCGCAAACGGAAAAGCTCCTTCTGCCGCTGATAGCATCTGCCCATACCATAAAGTGACCCAATCGTCACAGAGAACCAGAAGAAGACATACATGGTGTGCACAACCGGCAGCAGATGCACGTACGTCACTTCCTCCGTACTTCGTCGCCATGGCCACGCGTGCCCACGCACCATCCGCTGGTCGTCGCCAGAGTAGTCCTCCAGCATCTCCAGATAAAAGTGGTGTGCGCCGTGCTGGGCGACAGAGTCCTCAAGGTTGCGCGGTCCCCACCGTCGCTTGTAGTAATCCAACGCCATGTTCCATGGGCGCAGCACAAGCCAGGAAAGATCGGCGGCCACAGGTCCCTCGTTGTCCTCGTTTGATCCCCAGAAAAGTGATCCACCGAGAAACTCCTCACGGCGGAAGATTCCCCGCACGGAGCCCGGTGCGAAACCCTCTCCAATGTACTGCATCAACAACGTGCGGTGCTTGCCTGCGTCAATGGGAACCCACCCGCGGTTCACCATTATGAACTGCTTCGTGTTAGCCACTTCAAAAGGGGTCATAACAAAAAAACCGCCTTTACTTTCGTCGTTGGTGGCTGCGCCTTTAAATGAGGGAAGTGCACGCGGTCCTACAAGTACGGAACCCTCATTATCAAATGTACCCTCAAAGTCCCCACGACGAAATTCAAACTCATCAATGGGTACATCGTCCGGTGGGACTTCATGTAGAGCTGGCTTTAACAAATTTTTGTGGTTCTCCAATAGCCTTCTTTTCTCATTTCGGCGAAAGATTTGCCACATTCCGGCGTTGAACGACACGACAGCGCTCGTCAAGAACATAACACCCATGTAATCTGGTCTCATTGTTTCTTTTCTCACGTTATTTCTTTCTTTGAATTCTTTCTAATTCCCCACTCTTGTAATGTACTATTTTTTTTTTTTTTTTACTTAAGAATCCGATGTGTGTTTGTATGTATGTATGTATTCTCAGAGTCTTCTTTACCCTTCTTATACCCTGTACATATATATATGTATATACTTCTCATAGTGATTGGGAGAAGGACCACCCAAAATAAGAAGGAATAAAAAAAAAAAAAAGCAAGGGGTTAGAATGAATTCATAGATACACAAAGATGCCATAGAGAGGGACTGAGAGAGAACAACAACAACAACAACAGAGAGGGAAACAAAGAAGGTCAGTGAGTCACTGAGCGTGAAAGAGGGGCGAAAGAAAGGAAGGGAAACTTGCACAAGATGGGAAAATATATGGCTTCCTCGGTTATATACGTAAATATATATATATATATATATATATACGTATATCTCTTTTTTTTTTTGCATCTTTTGTCTTTCGTAGACACTTAGTAGGCATCTTAGTGCGCGTCCGTGAGAGGTGGGGTGCGTTTTGTGGTTATCGTTTGGGTTACTATGGGGTTGGTGTGCTGCAGCAGGCGACTAGTTGGTTGAGTTCGCTGTAGAGCCGCTTCATCTCCACAAAGTTCCCGCGGGCCTCCTCGAGGGCGTCTGCGTAGCGCCCGCACTGTTGACTTAGTCGGCGGAGTTCGTCGTGGAGCGCGAGAATTGTGGCCGCCCCGTCGCGCTCGCGGATTCGGCCCGCCAACTGCAATTCGACCGCCGCGCCGCTCGCCGCCGCCCACGCGCCCGGCGTGAGACCCGCCCGCTCCGCCGTCAGCCGCCGCCGCAACTCTGCATTCTCCGCCCGCAGCTCCGCATTCGCCGCCCGCAGTCGCTCTAACTCCGCCATCACACACACACAGAGAGAGAGAGAGACTACTGTATATATATATATATATTTATATTTATATAAGGGAAGAGATAAAAGTGAGTGAGTGTGTGTGTTTACTAACTATGGTGGATAGGTAGACAGAGGTGTGTGTACTGGTATATATGTACGGACCTAGGTCGCTAGGAATATATTTATTTATTTACAATATGGTGAGTGTACGTATATATATGTGTACACAGTGCAGTAGAGGTGACAGAATAAAAAAGAAGAGAGGAAAAAAAAAAAAAAAGATTAAGGGACAGGGGAGCTTTGAATAAGTTTTTTTCTTTTTTTTTTTCTTTTAAGGGAAAAAGAAACGAAAACGCCCAAAAACAAACAAAAGAGCAATAAGAATAGTTTGAATTCAAAGTATGGGAAGCAGCACAGTACATCGTTGCCATTCCAATGGCTATCTTTTGGTAAAAAGATATTTTTTAAAAAGTGGGCTCCCGGGCGTTAAACGACTAGAGACTCAAAAACAAACAAAGAAAAAAAGAAAAAGAAACAAACACAGAAATAAACACAGATATATAAAAAAAAAAGTCACCACCACCCCTTTCCCTTCATCAACCTACACGCCATCCGATAAAGGAATCCAATGAAGGGATGAATGAAAAGGGTTCAGGGCATAATTCAATATAATTCACAGTGAAAATATATTCATTGCGTTTCGGGGGCTTGACTATTGTTGGTAACCACAAGACGACGTAGTGCGGCATTCTCCACGTCCATTCGGTCGGCGTAGATAGACACCAAACGGAGGTGTTTAGCAACTGCAGCTGTAAGATGCGTTGCCAAGTTTGAATCCGTTACTACATCACTACAACCGTACCTCGCATAGGGACAGACATGTTCTCCATCACTACGAACTCTAGAGGGAGATGGTGATGATGATGATGATGATGGTCCATCACCATTACATGTTGACCCTGATCGTCGAGGTAGTTTGAGTTGTCGTGGTACTCTTCCACCAATCAGCCGACGCTGTTGTTGTAGTTGCTCTTGTTGTTGTTGTTGCTGCTGTTGCTGTAGTTGTTGACCCTGTTGTTCTTTCTCCCTTGACACGCGTGAGTCTGGCTCAGTAGAAGGAGCTACTGAGGGACTTGACTCTGAACGGAGTGGTGTTGGTAGAACCTTTCGGTTCGGGTTTTTCCAACACGACACAGTGTGTGCTTCTAAACGTCCCTTGCGAACATATTGCAAGCAAAAGGAGCATGCAACTTTCATCATATCACATTCAAGTTCATGTGAGGCTAAAGAGTGTCTCGGAAAGAGTTCTCCGCAGTACCTACACTTTTCCTTTGCTGCGGCACATTCTGCTAGGATATGTTTTTCCAATGCGTTTCGCAGGACATGGGCAGAGCAATATGGACAGCGAACAGGAAATCTAACACAGCGACGATTGTGTCGTACTAATTCTCCACGGAAGAGGTGTTCATTACAGTGTGGACATCGAATAGGAAATTCCTTACACTCTGTGAGATGAGCCTCAAGATCTTGTTTGTCCATCTCCTGTCGGCAATGTGGACATTGCACGTTCATGCGCAAGCAAACATGCTTGTCACCTGTAAAAACAGGTAAACCACAGTTGGGACAGGGTGTTGGTACCTCATGTTCGAGCATACCATTCGTCGGACATTTCAATTCTTTAATTCGATGGGCATAACGCAGAGTGTTCAATGTGTCCTCGCAGTGACGCTGACATGGAGAGATATTGGCAATTACACATGTTTTACATCGGCCAGTAAAACTCTCACTTAATATTTGCGTTAACTTAGAGGCACGAAAAGGTATATGCTTTTTGCGCATTGACATAGCACGAATACATTCCTTTAAGGCCAAGAGTGACTTATTTATTTCAGCCCCCTCTCGACGTACTTTAATGTCTGCATCAGCCGTATCAGCTGCCCGTTCACTACCGGCCAAATCTACAAATGTAATTCTACCACAAGGAACCGTACCTCCTTGCATACGAACTTTTATTCCAAGTATCGCGTGGGATCTTGAACTTCTATCATTAGCGTGTGTAATTCCGCTTGCACGTAGCATCTGGCCCTCTGACATAAGCTGACGCAGTTCTTCTTCAGTAGACACCTCACGTTCCGAGAGGCCAACTATGTGAATATTGCGAAACTCATCTTGTAACATCTTTACAGCTGCACGTCCATTAAGGAGATCAAAGAGTTTCGCCCCGTACACCTCGTAGAAACTAACAACAAGCGCGGATGCCGCACCTGTTGTAAGGAGTTCGGCCACAGTAAATCCGTATAATCCCTGACAAACACCTGCGCGCCCGAGCATTGTGTGTGTCTTGCCGCTACCAGTCTGTCCAAAGGCAAAGATAACAGCACCACCACCTTCTTTTACGTCTTGCAGCAATGGGCGACAGCAGGTTTCATACACATCTGCATTAGTTGATGTATCATCAAAGACGTGGTCAAAACTAAATACGTTGGGTTCAATAACAGGAGTGAGGTCTAACTTTGTCTTTGGCTCGTATACAACAATGGTAGTTGACCCCTCACAACGCACCACGTCATTCTCATCCGATTCCTTCGGGATTATTTTAGGCCTTTTCCGTACCGCTACAGTAATGGTGTTTTCACCAGCGGTCCGAGGTGTGCACACCATATGAGAGAAGTGTACACCCTAACAATTATTATTGGCAAAAACAAGAAAAAAAAAGAAGAGAATTCAAAAATAAGAAAAAAGCACATATAGATCAATTTGATGAAATTAAAAAAAAAAACACGAACAGTAGCAATGATACAAGTAGTATATATATATATACATATCCATGTAAAGAATATTGTTTATGGCTACGATGATGTTTCGAAAGCAAGAAACAACGAAAAATAAAATAATAAAAAAAGAATCACAGAAAAATATATTCACACATAGTCCTAAAGAAATGTGCCAAACGTATTTATGACAGCAGATTCTTTGTTCGTTTTTCTTTCATTTTGCAGTATGTAGGCAATGTAATGATAAATGTTCTTCCTTTTTCCTTCTTTCTTTCTTCCTCATTTCATCAAGCTATCTCCCATCCTACCATCTTCTCAGCATATGTTTCAATTACACAATCACAGACGTATACACACGCGGTAACGCAAAAATAAAATAAATAAAAAGAGAGCTACTAAGAGAGTATCAGTACAGAATAAGGAGGAGGTGCTTCGTCTTCTTTTTTCTTTTCTATTTTTGTACCACACACACTCTCTCTCTATATTTCTCTATTTCTCTCTACTCGTCCTTGATGGTATTCTTTGCCTTTGGACTCTTAGGAACCAAGAATTTGTCTGTTAGAGCCCAGCGACGCCTTGACCAGTACGGTCTCTTATCATCCCGCATTTTCACGTGATCCGAAACGAAGGCACTAGGATCGTATGATGCAAACATCGTGTTTGGTTCCAGTTTCTCACCCTCATGACGGTTTGCCAACTCATTCGGTGTGTGTGCTGTACGTCCCATCCTCTCATCTATCATACGAGCGCACATCATATTATTTACCTGCTGCTGCTGTTGTTGTTGTTGCTGTTGGCCCTGGAGTGGCGTTGGTGGTGGTCTGCCGTGCTCGTCTACATCCTCCAGGAAGAGTGGGATGGCGGGATCCCAATCGCGCTGCTCCGCCGTTCCCGGCACTCGCGGAAGAAGGCCGTGCGCGGCGTAGCGCTCCACCACCGCCCCGGCGCGAATCAACTGCACGAGCAAATAGTCCTGATGGTGTTTGAAGGCGTAGCGGCGGCCGCTGATGCTCGACGGTGTGCCGTCGGCGAACTCAAAGTCGGCGATCTCCCGCGATGGGCCGTAGACGCCGAGCCGGCCGCCGTGCCCGTGATAAAACATCCACTCCGTCTGCGTCTTGCGCATCCGCGGCTTCGGCAGCGGGTGATCGGCGCGGGCGGGCGGATATTTTGGCGCCTCGCCGGCCGCGGGCCACGGCGGGGTGGCGGTGCCGTCGTAATTGCACTTCACTTCAGAGAAGGCGCGCGTGGTTGTGCATAGCGGGGCAGCCAGCGGCACACAGAGAGTGCGGAGACGCATCAGACCTCATAGTGTATGTGTGTGTGTGTGTGTGTGTGTGGAGAAAAAGAACAGAGGAAATAGCAAAAGTAGGAAAGGAGTAAAGTGAAATGGATACAGGAATAATCAAGAAGAATAACAAGATTAGAAACAGAAAAAAAAGGAGAAAAGGAAAATGAAAAAAAAAAGGTTATCACCAGTAATAAACCGGTATAAATAAGGACATATATGCATATAATACTATATAGTTATGTATATCATATAGATATAGATATATGTCTTTCGATACGAGTAAAGAAAGCAAGATTAAGAGAGTTGCGCACTTACAACACAACTAGAATAAAGACGCAGTACGTACTTTACGTGGGATGGTTTAGCAGAGGATACTATCAAGACATAGGTAGTGTTTGCATCCACTTTCACTGGTGGTAATGCAACACTACAAGGATCATAAGACCCAGAAGAAGCGATGAGTTCCATTGACACTGCGCCTTTTGACCGAAAAAGACTCACATTAATGGCAACACCCTTCTCTGGGCTTTTACTCCCATCCTGTGATTTCAATAAGAGTAGCAAACGACCAGTTAAAATACCAGGTGATGTGGCCACAATGCATACCTTGCTATTACTAGAAAAGTACGTGTCAGTTGTTGGCATCAGTGCGAGCGGATTACCTGCGCTGCCGCCTTTGAGTTCCCCTTGCAGCACTGTTTCTTTAAAACCACTGCCCTCTGGTGGAATCTCCTGCAATTTATGTGGTTCTGTAGTCTCTACAACAAGTTCAAAAGAAGCAGGAACACCACTAACCCATTGTGCAGGTATAATGGTATAATTACCCGAAGGAAGCGGTGGAAGCGGCTCTGTTACCATCGCCTTTTCTTGTTGTTGTTGTTGTTGTTTTTTCTCACCAAGAAGCCGTTTAGTGTCAAACGAAAGACATGTTCGAAGACTTGTGTCCACAACAACACCACCATGGGCGTAGAGTGGTGCTTGTAGAAGGAGATTACACTCAGAGTTAATAGCACCAATCCGTGATGACCACTTAACTTCTTCATATGAAGTATTTTGCTCCTTCTTCACAACATGCACTTGCACCGATGGTTCACACTCTGCTGTACACAATCTTACAGAAATCATTGACGGTTTTAATAACGAAAGGAGATATTGTGGATTGTACACAAAGGTTTGTGAATCACTCCTTCCACCACAACTCACCCCTTTTACCCAATTTCCCTGTATTACAGAACAGTACTTTAGGTTATTACGTGGGATAGCGTGCATGTAAACACCACCAGATGATTGTTCCTTTTCGTTTAGTTTTATTTGTGACCATTCTGTATGCAAAGTAAGTGAGAAACTAAATTCCTCCTTTACAGTTGACTCTAATCGGCTAACAAGAACAAGAAGATTACTTGTCCCAGCTGGACAAGTAAAACTCACTGTATGTGCTGCTACACTTTTGTAAATAACTTCATTTAGCGGTTCAAGGACTTTTTCTAACTCTGTTCCGTGTGCCAATCGACGACAATAACACATACCAAATGTACATTGTGCTCCAAGATGTTGAGCAATAGAAGGATATCGTGTTACATCATAAACCTTCAAAGCTACATAAGGTACCCCTGGGTGGTCCTTCTCAAACTGTTGCCCAAAAGATTCCACATCCGTAATATGACGTGAGAATACGAGATGCATACGTGAAGGTCGTGATGCTTTACTTATGCCAATATGATACTGTGGCATCTGCCCTACACTTAGAGTATATGGAAAACGACTATGACATGAAAGTCGAGTAGGCCTACGCGACATGCCTTCAGGTGTTTTAAAAAGCATATAAGGATTCCAACTAAGTGAACAACGAAAGAAATGCTTACAGAGATCACTCCATGTAATCCAAAAAACTCCTTGATCAGCTAGTTCATCTGTATACTGCAAATCTGAAAGTAATTTTATTGCCTCTGGACGTTTATCACTAATAGAGTACGCCCCATTCCAAGATCGTTGTCCCCATGGATTCTTCAACTCTAAAAGACGTTCATCACCAATCTCTCGCATTCCTAGTACTGCGTAAGCATGACTTGAGGCCAGTCGAAACTTCTTTTCCATATCCTCAGATAGGGCTGGTGTACTTGCTGTTATGAGAACAGAACCATCAACATGTCTCTTATACAACCGATTCCAGTGTAATTCAGGGTCAAAATTTTCTGCATCAAGCATAATACCATCCGGAAGCCAACCAGATAGTTTATAGAGGTCCCCACTGCTACTACTTCCTGGAAAATCGTAACTTCCACCACAGACCTTTACAAAGGCTTTCTCCATTATTGATACCCACAATTCAGATTTATCACGACTATATGTACACAACATCCCACGTGTGCGAGGATTTGCAGGAAAACGATCATCTACAGTGATAAGTCGTGTCATACCATTTAACAACATCTTAACACAATATTTTCCTTTTGGGTTAACTACAGGATCACCATTATTATCTTGTGGAAAAATAACGTTATTAATTATTTTTCCTTTTGGGAATCTCTGCTGATATGAGGCACATATAATAAGGCTACACACCATTGAACAATCTCCCACCACAGTCTGTTTCACATTCAAAGGATCAGCAGTATGTATGATGCTAAGTTCTACATCAGGTTTAATATCACCTATTCGAAGATATTCTGCACCAGCCTGACGTTGAAGTGATGAGAGTCGAGGCGTAAATGAGTCCTCCCAGTGTCCTTCACAAGGCATAAAAACATTTTCTCTACCATAACCCTCCTGTAAATCATCCCAAATAGGGAGAAGGATTGTTGATGTGATACCAGACTTCCTAAGAATTTCCATCTCCTCCGGTAAAACTGGATTATCCTGCAGAAATCGTGGTTTAAAGCGGTTGTAGTACTCACGTCTCAAAAGTAATAAATGTTCTTCAATTCGATTAAAATTTGCAGGTCTGTTGCGTTCCCGCCTTCCCATATCATAGGCGTGCTGAAGTACATCCACAGCACGTTTGTATTCTTTCTGTTTTGTAAGAATCGTGGCGACATCTATAGCCTTCATAACGAGATCTGAAGCACGCGGTGCAAAGTGAGCTGCCAAGGAGTTGCTGGAATGTCTCTGTAATGATGTTGGTGGTATCTGTGGTGGTGGTGTTGTCACTCTACTTCTTGGTGTTGGTGTTGTTGGTAATGGTAATGGTGGTGGGGTTGCCACTGCCGCAGGAGGGTTGTTATTCGCCTGATAAGATAACGAAGTGGTGTTTGGAGTGGTCAAATTCTCTGATTGACCGTCTAGAAAACTCAAATAATCACCACCATCATCATTTTCCTGTTGTTGTTGTTGTTGGTTCCCTTGAGCCGATGATGTTGACAAAGTGACAGTATTGTTTGTTAATGGTTGCTTTTTTTGTTCTTGTTGTTGTTGCCGTCGTCGTCTAGTTTCTCGAATCCGCTGAACAGAACGTGCCGCGTCTTGCAGATATTCTCCCAATACCATTTTCTGTGAATTTCCAATTGATGTGTCCTGCATAGCGACACGGAGCCTTTGTATACCCACTACATACCACTCTTCTGCTTTGCCAAGTCTTCCTTCTCGCTCGAAGATCATGCCATTTTGAATACACGACAAAGCTTCTGTGCTCATGTTAAACAATTGTTACTAATGATGTTGGTGTTTCTCTTGATATACACGTAGTAGGAGAAAATAACAATAGCAATGAAATAATAGAGAAATAAAAACAATCATGTACAAATTAAAAAAAAAAAAAAAACAGGCATATAAAGATAGATAATGATAGAGGGAGAGAGAGAAAGAGAAAGAAAGAGAGGGAAAAAGACTCCGTGTGTATATACCTGGTTCACACACTCAGTTTCTGTTATTGTGACTTACTCCACATCGAGAGCCCGATGTAATACCGGGAAGAGAGTATCGTTGGTGAGTGGATCACCGGCCTTACACGCATGCAGTGGACCGTGTGTATCCCGCGATGACCACGAGTTCCTCAGACCATCAAATACACAACGATGTGGCATGAGTGTCATCGCATATTGATACGGCCCATTAACGGCACGGACAGATGGTGGTACGTACGGTGCAGCAGATCCACACATTGTTGGCTGCAGTGCACTTAGTGTGTAATGATTGATGAATAGCACACTACCAGGCTCAAGTGGTTCCAGTTGTACTACAGGTAACTCACGCAGTCCTTCAATTTGACGAATAGCTCTTCCCATGTCAAATACACCACCTGCTCGAAAACGACTAAAATCTTTACCGTCTTGTGTGAACTCTTGCATCACATGATGAGATCCAGGGATAACGAGGGTTTGTGGTACTCCTGCTACAGCCGTTTTTTCACATTCGAGTCCTATCAACACTGTTAGACTAGTGAGACTTCTAAAGTTTGTTGAGTTCCCTACAAAATGAAACGGAGTGCAGTTGAGAAAATTATGGGCATCATGTACGGCATCGTCAAATAGACGAATAACTATACCCCCTGATAGTGCCGCCGCCGCCTCACCAATTACTCTACCCAACTCACCAAATTCTGTTTTCTGTAGTTCTCCTTCTTCTTGTTGTTGGAGTAACAACTTCTGCAAAGGTGTTGACTCTGGCCAAACACGACACCAGCACTTGGACCAGTTCTGCAAGTGCTCCAGGGCACGATCCAGGTGGTAGTCACGACGAACCTCAAGTTCCATCTTTCCACTATCTCTGTATGCCTCAAAGCTCTTCTTCACATCATCGTACTTATACTTGTCACCTATCTCACGTATGCGATGATCACTCATACGCCCTCTACGTTCCTCCTCCTCTGTTGCAAAATTCTTCACATCCTTGAATTTCATATACTGTTCTCTCTGTGCTGCGAGCTTTGCATACACCCGATCCACCTCTCGCATATTTTTGCACTTCAACATCACCTTCCGGTAGCGTCGCTCGAGGGTCTGCGCCTCATCCTGACGCCGCAACTGTTCCTGTATGTGTGGTGGTGGTGTCTGCGCTGCGAGATTCGCCGTTGGCTTCGGCGTCATTTGTGCGTTGAACTCCACGCGGCCGTTGTGTTCGTCGTCGATGCCGGGAAACACGCGCGGGCCGCGGGCGGCAGCGGCGGTGCGACACGCGGCGGTGAGTGCAGCCGTGAGATGCGGCGCGATGAGACGGCGGGCGACGAGAAGTCCCGATTGGCGATACGTGCGAATAGCGACGGGTGACATGAGAGCGGCACGGCCATCAACATACAGCGGGGATGGCATGAGCACCCGCCGTTCCTTTCACAGTGTAATAAAGAGAGAATGAAAGAGAGAATGAAAGGGAGAATGAACAGGTGGGGAAATAATAATAATAATAATAATAATAATAATAAAGAACAATACATATACATTTATGTGTATGTTCACTTATTATAATAAAAGGAAGAGGAAGGGGAAAGGGGAACACATCCAAAGAAATACCGGTACACTGAACGATCTCTTCACAAGACACTAGATTTGGAACGATAAAGAAAAAAAATAAACTAAAGGAAAAAATAAAATGAAGGTATAACTAAACTCTTACCTATCCCCATAAACTAGAATAGTTTATAGCGTTAATTGATAGCTATTTCAGAACATCCTTTTTTGTTCATCATTATTGCCTCACAGGCTTCCTACATTCACTTCTCCACATTTTAGATAAAGAAATAAATACTTCATAACACTTAATGGCCCGCTAATCGTGCTCTCACCTCTGAGGCAAGCCGCAGAGCGCGATCTTCTGTACTGCTGTTAATAATAGTGGGAACACCAACACCACTCACAGCATCTCGAGTGGAAAGACGACGCACAACTTTCTCTCTTTGCTCCAACAGCATTAGTCGGCTCTGCAGTTCCTTCTCCCGCGCCAGCAACTGAGACTCTCGACACTCCAGCGCTGCCTCACGGTCTGCAGCGGACCACGCATCACCATCAATAACACCATCAGTATTATTATTATTAACAGCAATAGAAGCAGGGATTGGGGTCACAACTGCTACTGCGACCTCATGAGCATCACCGCCGAGCAAAGCATACGTGCGGCGTGCCTCTCGACAGTACACGGCGTTATCACTGAGGAGCAACATCACATATGCCCCCGCCTGGGCATCACTGGGAAAGTACATCTCACATCGCAGTTCAAGTCCTTTTCCCCCGCGTACGGACATGCGACTGCCAAGTGTGAGATGCGACGCGCCGGACTGCGCTGCGTGTGCGAGAAGATCCACTTCGAGTGCCCGCACAAAAAGAGCCCGTTGGGCGTCCGGTGCACGCCGCAGTACAGAGCCCCGCATGCGGGGAAAGAGACAGCGCACATTCACGCATAAAGTCTCCTCCCCATCACCATCTTGTTGCTGTGTGAGCATTTGATCTAAGAGTAGTTGCTGTACAGAAGGAAATACAGCTGTTTTAACCATCTTTTCATTTGTTTCTGCAGAGGTACGATCTCTGCATGGTATAAAGAAGGTTACATGCACTCCCTCCTGCTGGTCTTGTTGCTGCTCCACTATAACAGCATCCATATCTTTCGCATAAGACCAACCAGTGAATTCGGCAAGATCAGAAAGAAGAGTATTGCGCAATTCATCACACTTTATATGCTTCCAGCCATTCCCTGCAAACCAACGCGTGTGTCGTGAAAAGAGAGTAAGAAAAGAATTTTCACATACATCAGAAGGGTATGTACTTGACATCATTGCCGTTGCTGATTCCTTTGTTGTTGTTGTTGTTGTTGTTATTGGCTTCTGCACTTCTACGGCACTCGGAACCGCTGGGACCATTTCAAACGTCGTGAGTCGCTCGAGTTGTTCATCAAAGGCAAACAATGGCGGAGGGAGATGTTGTGGCAGAGCCTTTGGTTCTATGGAAGGCATGATCTCTCCATTTTCTTTAAGTTTGTAGAGAAACTTCATCAGTTCCTCGTCACCCATCCCTGTATTCATCCACTGTTGTTGCAACATTTCTTTCTTCTCTTCATAAAACTCTTGAAAGAACTTCTGCAGAAGATCGTGATGGTTCAGAGTTGTCACACTGTCTGTGAGTTTCTTATCATTCTCAGATGTTATCTCATCTTTTGTTCTCACGTTGTTATTCTCTATTATTGAATCCTCTTTTCCTGTAGGGTTCTCTACTGTTGTCTGCTCCTCCATCTGTGGTGTATCCTTTATTGTTATTTTATCTTCGTCCTCATTTGAAGGCACATGTGTGTCCGTGCTCTTCACAATGGGCTCACCACTCTCATCGAGATGGTACTGTCGATATAAAGCGCGAAAGAGTTCTTCCTCGTCCACGTTGAGTGAAAGTGCACGTTGAACTTTAGCTTCCACATTAACAGGATTGTGTTTCTCGTAGAATGCAATGAGTCGCTGTCGCAGTTGTTCCCTCTCAGTTGTTGTTCCTGTTCTTGTTGTGGTTGCTGTAGAACTATCCGTGTTGGAAAGTGGATTGCCATCCGCGTCAAGGTGATAGCGGCGGTGCAGTGAAGAGAAGAGAACATCCTCATCTACATTGAGAGACATCGCATAAGTTACCTTTTCCTCCACTTTGCTCGGACAGTGTATTGCATAGAAGGCAGTAAGACGTTGTCGCAACGCAGACCTTTCGTCACTTTTATTCCGTCCTTTTTGTTTTTGTTGAGATCGTTGAGATTGTTCTTTTTCTTCTACTGTTGCGTTGTGAGCAGCGGGGGGTGATGTCTCTTCGCCGGTATATTTGTATTTCTCACGCAGTTGCCGCAGTACAACATCAAGCGGTCCATCCATGTTCATTGCCTCTTCAATCGCCGCCATCTCCGCCTCCGCATTTTTTTCTTTTTCTTCTTGAGATGCCTCTTGTTGTTGTTGATGATGATAGTAATAGTGTTTAAAGAATGCGGTAATTTCCCTTCGCCGCTGTTCCTGCGCCTCACTGCTGTACATCTGCTCCTCCGCAGGAACGCCGTACTTCTTGTAGAGCGCGTTAAACACAACTTCTTCACTCAGTCCACGTTCCAGCAGGGGCTGTATCTTTCCAGCCTCACTGGGGGCGTACTGTTGATAAAAGGCCGTCATTCGCCGTCGCTGGCGGGCAGTGGCGGCCCGCTCGCGTGCGTACATTTTGTTGAGCCGCGCGTACACTTTTTCGGTGTCGTGTGCGTTGTTGAGCCGCGGGTGTTGCGTGAGTGTGTTGAGATCCGCAAGCCGCGATGGTGCGTGTTCGCGCAGATACACCTCCAGCAGTTCCCGCATGGGATCCTCCTCCTCATCGCTCTTCTTTTTCTTCTTCTCCTCTTTATGATTGTTGAGATCCACGGCAGTGCGAGCTGTACTCGCCGTCATTTCTTTTGCGGGGGTGTCTTCTTATGCAAAGAAAGAAAAAGAAAAGGAAAAAGAAA